CAGGGCAAATCCATCCGACGCAGTCGCAGCCTGTAACTGCAAATGCAGGACCGCGTGTTCTCAGGCAAACGACCTTATCTGATGGATGCACTTGAAAATTTACTTGCGAGCGAATTCGGGTCTAAGAGCTTGCTGACAGACGTCACTGATACTCGGTGAGTGCTTTCACATGCGGGGCGGTTGCTTATCTGCCTTATGTGAGTGTTTGTGCGCGTCGGTATGGGGTGTCAAGTGGAGTGGAGCGCCAAGGTTCGGGCTCGAACGTGCCACCCACCTGCGTCCTCCCCCCTCCGCTTCCGGTCTCCTTGACTCAGTCTTGTCACCACGCCCAGGTGGCGAGGAGGAGACATTGCGATGAATACTCTGCAAGTCTACATCCACTATAGACTAAATCCCGCTCAACTCACTTTTCCTGCTCTCACCTTGCTGTGTGGCACACCGTGGACATCGTCGGCAGCGACGGTCGAACTGTCACGGGGTTTCGGGTCGTGGGTCCACGTGATGGTCGTATTAAGTCGCTCACTCGCTTGCAGGTGTAGAATAAACCAAGCGTCCATTTACCGACACCTAACTCTCACATGTGGCTCCCCGAAGCTAGGCTCTGCCAAACGGCCACACTCCGATAACCGCCTCCACCGGCGGGTTGAACCAGATGGGGGTCTCCGTGTTTGCAGCTACACACACGGTGACTCGGCTACACTTCCACCATCACTGGCCGGACGGATCAGCACATCGCCACCTCCAAGATGAAGCTTCACCTGCAAACCCGCTGGAGGTCAAAAGGCAAGTGTCCCCCCCCAGGTAAGCCGAATACTGCTCTTTGTCTTTGCTTTCTGCTTGTTCCTGGTTGCTCGCCTTTGTCTACTTGTCTGTTTTTGTCCTTGCTGTAAGCTACATTACGCTCTGCTGAGTTTTTCTGCTCACCGTTTATATTCCAGCAACTAGTTAGCTTAGAGAGGGACGGGAAAGTCTGCTTCCCGTCTCTCCACCCTTCCCCCACTCCACGACCCCTACCTTCAAAAAGACCGAAGGCAAGAGCAGCAGCGATCACGTAGGCGGCCCAGGATAACTCGGGTCGTTTTCTTACTAATCACAAGTCGTGGCGCATAGTGGAATTCAGCAGCCGTCTGCGGCAACTGAGCAGCTCTATTTGGGGAGAGCACTGCTCAACCCGCGATGAGGAAGGGGCTGGAAAAGGTGACTTAAACAGATGCTGCGATCACGTCCTCTGCGCGCTGACCGGGGCTCGCAGGCGCAAAACACACGGTCGAAACAATCAAACAAGAAACAATACTCTCTCTTCTCTCTCCTCATCCCATTCGTCCCACTCGTCAGACTGGTAAGGCGATTCCGCTCACTCTGGCAGTCCGGAATGTTTGTTCCCTTTTAGAGAATCTGAGAAGCAACCGGCCGGAACGAAGGACGGCGCTAGTGGCTCGGAAACTGGCGCGCTTCAAGGTGGACACTGCCGCACCCAGAGAGGTCGGGTTTTCTGAACAAAACCGACTGGAGGAGGTTGGTGCCGGCTACACCTTCTAGAGCAGTCGCCCCAGGTCAGAGCGACGGGATGCGGGCGTTGTCTTTGTCATTCGAAACAACATTGTGGTACGACTGCCCTGTCTGTCGCAGGACTTCAATGATTACCTAATGAGCCTCTGCCTGCCTCTTCAGGGAGACAAATTCGCCACCATTGTCAGCGTCTACGCTCCCCGAGTGCCAGACCTGATGCTGCAAGGAACAAATTCTACGAGGAGATGCACGCAATCCCGACACCTGTGCGAAGACGGACGCGTTAAGTGTCCTTGGTGGCTTCAACGCTCGCTTCGGCACAGATCACGCTGCCTGGAGAGGAGTGCTGGGTCCCCATGGTCTCAAAGGCTCCAACGAAAATGGCTTACTCCTCTTACGAACCTGGGCAGAACCTTCTCCGCCTCCCGATGGGGAGAATACCACCTGGATGCACCCGCGGTAGCGACATTGGCACCTGTTGGACTATGTCATCGTCCGGAGGCGAGACTAATGGGACGTGCTGGAGACATAGGTGATCCCGGGTGCTGATGGGTGGACCGACGATCGTCTCGTCATCTCCAAGACCTTAAGGTAAGCGACCCCCAGGTAAAATAAATATTGCTCTATTGTCGTTGTCTCCTCATCATGTACATTTCAGCACTGAACAAGTCCAAAGGCTAGCCAGCCTTCCATTCGCCGTCGCCGCTAACGAGAGCGCCTCTGAGGAGAACCGATGGTGTCAACTGAGGGACATGATCCAGTCAACCGCCATTACTGTCCTCAATCGCGCACGTTGCCAACATCAGGACTGGTTCGAAGACATTGAGGCCAGCATCAGCAACTTACTCGCCAAGAAGGACCGATTGATCAAAGCCTGCGTCAATCGCCCTACTGGCTACAACAAAAGCAGTCTTCTACCGTAGTCGCTGCCCTGAGTAACAGCGGCTGTGGGAGATGAAGGACGTTTGTACGTTCTGCAAGGTCAAGGAGATCCAAGGATACGCGAACTGCAACGAATGTAGGAACTTCTTCGCCACGATCGAGGTTGTCTACGGTCCTACAGTCAGTGGCACCGATCCTCTTTTCAGCGCCGGCGAGAGTACTCTACTCACCGAGAAGGCCAATTCTACAGCGATTGGTCAAAATTTCAGAGGCTTCCTCAACCGTCCCTCCATCATCTCCGACACCATCATCGCCCGTCTACCTCAAGTGGAGGCCAACGCGAACTTCGGCCTCGCGCCCCTGCTGCATGAAACTATCAATGCCGTGCAACAGCTCTCCATCGGGAAAGCGTCCGGATCGGACGCTATCCCTGCTGACATCTAGAAGCACAGTGGTCCCCAAATTATGGAACACCTGACGGCGCTCTTCGGGGAAATGCGACGTCAAGAAGTTCCTCAGAACTTCAAGGACGCCACAGTCGTCCATTTCTACAAGCGGAAAGGAACTGCCAACTCTGCGACAACCATCGAGAAATCTCCCTGCTGATAATCGCGCTCCGATCGCCGGGAAAATCTTCGCTGACATTCTTTTCAACCGTCTGAACAACCATCCGGAACAGGGTCTCCTGCCTGTGCGGCTTCCCAGTCACCACCGAACCACCGACATGAGCGCTGCCATCCGCCTATTACAGGAGAATTGTCGGGAGATGCGGACCAAACTCTACTCTACCTTCGTGGATATGACGAAAGCCTTCGACATCGTGAATCGCGCAATTTCGTGGTAAATCATGCTGAAATTCGGCTGTCCCGAGCGATTCACTGGGATGGTTTGTCAGCTCCACGATGGTATGACCGAGCGCGTCATGGACAATGGAGTCGTCTCAGTGGCATTCGCAGTGACCAACGGAGTGAAGCAGGAATGCGTCCTCGCGGCAACCATCTTCATCTTATATTCCCTGTCATGCTGATGGACGCCTACCGTGACGAACGCCCCGGGATCCGCGTCGCCTACAGGACGGACGGCCGACTCTTCAATCAGTGGCAGATGCACTTCCAGTCGCGTGTGTCAGCGAATTCTGTCCATGAACTCCTCTTCGCCGACGACTGCACCCTCAACGCCACCTTTGAAGGGGACATTCAAAGGAGCAAGAAAATAATCGCCGCCGCCTGTGACAACTTCGGCCTCATCAACAGTATGGGAAAGACGGTGGTTACGCATCAACCGCCACCTGACGCCGCCTAGGGGTGAACAACGCCCAACTGCAAGCCGTGTTCAACTTCACTTACCTGGGCAGCACCCTCTCCCTCACCACAAAAATCAACGATGAAGTGGCCCGCTGCATCGCCAAGGCCAACCAAGTATTTGGCCGTCCGCGAAACTCAGTTTGAAATCACCACGTTCTCCACATCAGCACCAAACTGTAGATGCACAAAGAGGTCATTCGGCCGACGTTGTTATATGGAGCGGAAACTTGGATTGTGTACAAGAAGCAGGTTGCGAAGACTCGACCACATCCACATCCGCTATTACCAACGGATAGTGAAGTCGACGTGGCAGGCTCAGATTCCAGACACGGACGTATTGGAACGGACAGGAATCCTCCGTATCTACGCCATGCTAAGATAACTGCAACTGCGCTGGAGCGGCCATCTGGTGTACATGGAGTACGAGCGATTACCCAAGCGACTTTTTTATGGAGATTTCGCCATGAGACCCCGCCGACATAAAGGTCAAGTCCGGCCCTAAAAGGAAACACCGAAGACTTCCTTTAGGCGCCGCAAATTGACCTGGCCAACCGGAAGAACCTCGTTTGGCACCGACCGACCCGGAGGAGAGCAGTGTAAACGGGCACAGCCATCTACAAAGCCAACCGCATCACCGCCGCCAAAGCCAAACGCGAAGCACGTAAATCTCAACTGCCCCCGTCCCGCGACGCCAATGCTCAACCGACTCCGACCTGCCCATGATGTCAACAGACGTTCCGGGGACCAATTGGTTTCATTGGACATCTTCGTACCAACTTCAGCACCCCGACTACACCACCCGTTGTCCCAAATTCCACCTCTGCCTCGTCCTGCACGCCGACAACCAACGCTGGCTGCAGTCCTGAACACTTACTGTCATCCTCCTCCGTCGCCTCAACATCCGTTGCGATGGCTCCTGCACCCACCGCCACTGTACTCCATACTAACACCGCCAGACATCAACCTGACCACCGCCAACACCAACGATGTGGACTTGGTCCAAACCCGTCCACGCCGACCTGGCCGGTCACTTGCGAATCTATCGCACAAAAACTGGCGGACCGGCGTATGGAGCACCCACATGAAATCGCCGCATCTGTCCACACTGCCTCCACATTCGCTCACCACACGTGCATCCAGGTGAGCTGATGTCACCGCAGTCTCGAAACACCCAGCACATCCACCGTGCATAGCCTAACCCACACACCGCCGCCCACCGGGCTCACCACCAGCAACCCCACGGTCACTGAAACCGACCCTGTTCACACTTCCCACGTACATTCACCTCACAAATTGTTCTGGTTGGCCACTTGATAATCTGTCGCACAGAGGCTGGAGAGCCAGTGCCTGGAGCACCCACACACACTCACCGCATCCGCATATTCACGCACCGCATGGGCCAGTTAAGCCGCATGCGCATTCATGAAAACCTGCGGTGGACAACCACCGACTAAACCTCCCCACCACATCTTCCCCCATCTACAACACACAACATCATAACTAACCACAAGCATTCAACTGCCACCTCCCACGCAAGTGGGACATGTGCGTCTCGGCTCCGTCTCCATGTGGCCCCTGCTGCATATACGATTCGGATCTGAGACTATCACAGTGCGTCAAGCAGCGTGGCTTGGAAGGCTGCTGACTGACGTCCTAACTCAGTCCACGCAGTCCACCCAATTGCGTGGTTGTGTTGAGTGGCAGATTGGTGGGCTGAGAGCCACAGTGAAACAACACTCTCACGCATGTGAGATGTGAGCTTATCTGCTGAATGGTTACGTAGTTGTTTGTATCTGCACGCGTTCTGTAATCAGGCGCCAGCCAGTGCTTCTCCGCGTTTCCGAACCACGCTTATTAGCGTCTGGGTAGTGGCCGAAGACGTTGAGGGTAGCACACACACGGTCGAATAGATTACCTAGAATAGCTGGCGGATAATGTAACGCTGGGCAGAGTAGTCAGACACCACTTCAGGCATGCATATAGGGATATTGTAATAAAATGGGTTTGAAGCGTATCAAACCTAGGTTACAGTAAATAAACGGGCGGAATAGTATTTAACAATTACAAGGGAATAACGACGTACTGTACAAACGATCCATTGGAAGTGGGACATGATCACGTCATATTAGTCAGACATCGTTGGGGATTGAAGCGCTGACGGCAACTGTGGGTAAGGGCCGTGGAGTGTGCCGAAGATGGAGGACACGAGCGACGAACGGACGGCGAGAGCGGGGGGGGATCATGCCAACGGTAGGGAGGGAGGGAACGCCGACCGTCTTCACTGGCAGACGATCACACCAATCAGACATCCGACATCCGTGCCAAGGTAGCTACACCTCATTCAAACAACTCAGTCGAGTTTGTCACACGTTACATCTGCACGTGTCCACCGTTCCAAGGCCACTTGATTTTGCTGAAAGTGCCCTTGTCGCGGCAGCTCGAGTCATGGGCAGACCCTGGCTCCTGCAAACTTCCGATCCAGTTCTGAATAGAAAGAGGGGGATCTGGACACCATTTAAGTGAACATTGCATTCTGTACAGAAGGAATGGAGACTAGTGCTGGGAGAAGCCGTCCTAACCCACTCGATCATACGCTGTCCGCGTGCTGATGTCACGTCGGCTCTCGACAGGACTGGAGGTTTACCCAACTACTCATATGAACCAGAAGTCCAGCCGACGTGGTAACCCATCAGGCACACCATCTGATTGGTGATATGTCAGCCTGACCTTAGACATTTCCAATATCGCAATATATCTTTCCCTTCCTCCCTTGCTATTAATTTCTGGTTTGCGGATTTGTTCGAGGAATGTTTTTGTGTTGACAACCAGCGAGGCATGCGGCAAGTTCACAACAAATTGACAACACAGAACTCACAATGACTACAGTGAGTGATCGATCTCATGAAATGTTGGCTGATATTCTGAAATGTGTTTTCGACGAGGAAGGATTACTTAGACGCGGTTGTAATACTGATTATCTTGCGGCACAATCCCATAATATTTCGTATTCGGCAGGATGCCAGCTTTTGGGTACACTGCTTTTCAATCTCCTGCACTTCAAAATATCAGCCAACATTTCATGAGATCGGTCACTCACTGTAATTTCGCGGAAAAATTACTGTTTAGCCTGCAACAGCTACAGGCTTAGTTTAAGGCCGCCCACTTGAAGTTGATGAAGTTGATAATATGAAACTGCGGTTTACACTTTCCTGTTCCAGCACCCTCTGAAAATCAGTCCACGTCGGTTACGCGGTCGCCGCTAATATTACTTAGTTTATTTATGATCCCGATTTGGATGGGACCTTTGATTCCCGGTTCAAACACTGAGGAGACATTTTCCGCATTGAATTTGCGAGCGCCGATAATTCGTGGAAGATGTGACTGCCACTACCCAAAGTGGGTACCAAGTAGCATTAGGCGTACATTGACAAGCTTCTGCGGAAAAGTCCTTGTATAATGCAAACTGATCTATTTTGCGACTTGAGCGACCAGTGTTTCACACGTCAGTCAGATGAGAAGAAACAAATTGGCCACGAGGACGCAACGTGATGTTGAGTTATTATTCAAAGTTGTGTTGCGACTTACAAGCGTATTTTAGCACACTAAAATACAGTGTTTTTATGTCACTGCACCCTCGTATATTCATATTGCACAAAATGACGAAGTAATTCGCAATGACGTTCGGGAGAAGTCATCATTGTTCAGCATTCGATACCAGTGCCTGAAGATGGTGAAGACCGAGACAAACGACTTTCTAACTCTCGCCAGCATTGTCAACCGTGAGTGCGCAAAACCTAAACGTAAATGACTCATTTTTTGTGCTCTTAAATACTTCACGATGCTGAAATCAGAAGTCGTCTGATCGGGACAATTGAACTTGACTCCGACATCGCCCTGCTGACAGTGACTGCCGAACGTCGGCGGCTCAAGAATCGTAAACATGATTCTGCTTTGTGGAGCAGTCCAGTCCCGCGCTTGTTGCCACCAATCTTCATGCCGTCACCAACACAAAGTCGATGTCACCATACAGGTCTCAGGACTCTACGCCCATAAAACCTCTGACAGCACGTTGGGAATGTGATGATTGGCATTTCTTTCGCTTCTGCTCACTCAAGAAATAGGTTTATCAGAAATGTCATGAGCGAGGGCACAAGAAAGGTCACTGTCCATCAAGCCAGCCCTCTGAATCAAGGGTATGCAAGAGGAATGTCACAAATGCCCTTCAATCCATTCCCGTTCAAAGTCTCATTCCATCCCAGTCACGTTCAAGACTGAGTTTGAGTCGCAGAGAAGGCCAATTATGGTTATTGTCAATGACACGCAGTACGCCTCCAGTTGTATAAAGCCTCAGATTTCATTCTCATCTGCAAGCGTACATATGTGGCACATGATTTCACGGTCTCCGATAACCGATCTCATTAAATGTTAGCCAAAATTCTGGAATGCGCTCCCGATTAGGAAAGATTACTTAAGTGGGGTTGTTATACTGATTAGCATGCAGCACAATCTTGTAACATTTCGGACTCGTCAGGATGTCGGCTTTTGAATGCACTTCTTTTTGACCTCCTAGAAAACCGTACTGCGTAAAGAATGACTACTTAATTAGCATGCATTTTTCCCATTAATTTTCGGTGGTCTTATAAATTCAAATATATTTTATAGAAAACATGCACAAAAATATGCCTATATTGCTCCCTTGGAAGGAAACCACATTTTCTTTATATTTTATGATCGAATAAAGTGTATATTTAGGTTTTTAAAAAGTTTATAATTGTGAGATTTTTAAGGCCGTGCGATGTCCATGCATGGAAGACCGCGCGTGTGCATTTACCAATGCTCCTCATGAAATGTACAACATAGTTCGGATGCATTGCAAAATTTCATGAGGTCTATGTGGTATCTTCTTTAACTCAGAGAGAAATATATGATTTTCCTTACGCGAAAAGCATGCGCCTTCAAGACTGAAATTGGTAAACGCTGAGGCAATGGCAGATCAGGCTGAAAATTATTCGGGAATTGGGAGACTTTTTAAAAACTTAAATATACACTTTCTTCGGACATAAAATATTAAGACAAAGTGATTTCCTTTCAAGTCAGCGAAAGAAGTCATATTTTTGTGCATGTTTTCGATAAAATATATTTGAATTTATAAGACCGACGAGAATCAGTAGGAGAAATGCATGCCAATTAAGGAGTGTTTTTTTACCCAGTGAGGTTACCGCAGGAGGTCAAAAAGAAGTGCATTCAAAAGCCGACATCCTGGTGAGTCCGAAAGGTTATAGGATTGGGCTGCATGATAATCAGTATAACAACCCCACTTAAGAGTAATCCTTTCTTATCGTAAACGCATTTTGCACTTTGGCCAACATTTCATGAGATCGGTCACGCACTGTACATCAAGCCAAAGGGCACTGAATATTTCTGAGGCAATACTCCGGTTGGATGTAGCGTTTATTTTGATGGCATTCCATTCAAGGGGACATGCTGCCTTACCCACCGCCCGAACCCCAAATTACTAAGGTTGAAAAACCTAGTCTTCCGGAAGTCCCACTTACCCCATGTTTGCAATAATTTTCCATCGTTTTGGCAGAGTCCTGTTATGCCGCAGCAGCAAGCTCCAAAGCTGATGGTTATTGTACAGAAGAAATCCGCCTCTGTTTTTCAAAGGGGTATTAGTTGCTGCATCAAGACGAAGGACAGCCTTTGTCTTCAGCAAAATACGGAACCTGTTTTCAAACCACAGTGGTTCGTAACTTATGCTGCCCTCCCAGTGTTTGACCAAGAACTTGGGCGCCTTCAGCAAGATGTGTACTCCAGCCAGCGAACCGCTTTGTATGGGCTACACCAGTTGTGGCTGTCAAGAATCTGCGTTGATTTCTCCACCGGTCTCAGTCCTGCTCTGGACACTCACCGGTATCCGCTATCGTTGCAGGAATGGTGGAAATTGTCTCGCAAAACTGGGCCTATTTGACGTATATTTCCAAATCGAGGTGGCTGGAGAATCTCGAGAACTTCTGATGATTAACGCTCACCGTGGTTTGTTCCAGTTCTTCCGATTGTCATTTTGTGTTGATACTGCCCCCTCCATTTTGCAACAACCGATTGACACCATGTTGACGGGCACCAAAGGAGGTGCTGCCTGACTGGTCGATGTCATCCTCACAGGTTCAGATTTGGATGAATTATTGCAGCGTTCGGAGACCATACTCAGCCGGACTTAAGACTATGGTCTCCCCTTGCGTCCGCACAAGTGGAATCTTTTATGTCTTCTGTGAAGTACTTCGGGTTCATAATCGGCCAAGACGGCCTTCGTCTAGAGACAGCTAGCATTGACGCCATCAGGTAAGTGCCTTCGCCAAAGGATGTAGCCTCCTAACGGCCTTGTATGGATCTCACGAGTCAATATAGCTCTTTCGTTCCAAAAATGCATTGCCTTCGCCACCCGATATGTGAGCTACTCCAGAAAGATGCCAAATGGAAATGGTCGAGAGAATGTCAATAGGACTCTGAAGACGCGAAAACAATTTTGATCCCTGACTTGCAGCTAATCCCGATTTAGAGATCGTCGCTGAAACAGACACCTCCAACTATGGAATTGGCGCCGTAATTGCACTCATCGGTCCAGACTATAGAAAAGTTTATTTTTTATGTCATGATCGGCCGAAAGCCATACCGCCACTAGTATGCGCGGGCAAATACTCGAGGGAGGCTCAGCGTCGCCGCAGGCGCCCAGAGTAGGGCCACTGTAACGCCCCTGGACTTGAACAGAATTGTTTGAATGTGTGACACTTTTCCGCGCGAGGACCTAGGGTGGAGATGGCGTTAACGGCGTGTCAGTGAAGATGGCCGGTGCCCCTTCCTCTCTCATCCGCCGATCCCTTCCCCCTTTACCGTACCGTACCGTAACGCTCGCATCGCTCTCCGTCTCGCAACATCGGCACCCCCCTCGGCCCTTCCCTGCAGTTGCCCACCGCGCTTCATTTCCCACCGGTTAACGAGCTGGCATGTCGGTATCGCCTCCCCACCCAGACAGGTTATCTGATGGCTGTAACTCGTTCCAACTGTACGAGTAACTATTATTATTATACGTATCTCCCATAACCGTCTTGTTATACTTTACTGTATTCCGTTCCTGACGTACCCTCTTCTGTTGCGTGTGAATGAGTATTCAGAGATGCTAACGACTCTCTTCAGATCTATCTCCTCCAGGATCTACTCTCAGCGTTCTCTTTCGTTGGTGTGTGCTACCCTTGACGTCCTCGGCCGCTACACCACTACATTCTAGCTACAGCAATATGCAAGATGTGCTGACCTATCAGAAATGTTGACTCGACACTCATGCAGACCTGCGACCAAGCCCACTCGGCTGGGAGGATGGATTGCGGAAACAAACACCAGTCAAGTAGGCGTCGAAACCTCCGCTGACAAGAAACTACAGAAGAACCATTCCTTGCTTACCGTCGTTAACAGGCAATATCCTAACCTAAGGTGATAGTGCACCTTACGTTTGAATTCGTGCTTATTGGGTAAGTGATTGTTGTGGTTGACTGAATATAAGCCGTTATGGATGCTCCGAATCTCGGAAACTCATACGTCGTTGTTTACTGCGCATTTAGAATGTTTCGGATTGAAGACAAGCAGTCGGTGTTCAACCGGAATATCAGCACCGCGCATCACCATAGTCGGCAGTTCCTCATAACGATCACTACTGTTCTTGCTTGTATACTTCGCAAAGTCTCTGGTGGTAATGACTAGCAGTTTTTCACGAAATGACATCTTTGTCACGAGGTGTGCGTAGCTTATTCAATGACGACGCCTTTTCTGGTTACAAACTCGACTTCACTAAGGGTGTTCGCTTCAGAAGGAAATGTATCCCTCAGCAACTTCCTTTAATAGTTCTGTTCAGAGAGGCGGGTGTCGCTCAGAGCAAAAATGTCAACGTTATAGCTGACAGCAGGAACAGTTAGCCTTGCACGGTTGGCTGGGCACTACGTTATCCAAAAGCTGTTACAGTGAGAGAGAGCTCTTTTGGAGGAGGGGATGTTGACAGAGATTATTGGTCTGTGGATCTTTTCCGACCGGAAACGGTGGTTCCGGAAGTGCAGGCCAGTGAGTCCTGAGGAGAGAAAGTCGCAAAGGACTCCATTGCGGGGGAAATCGTTTGCAGTAGGTCAGGAGAAGTGAAAGAGTAGGAGACAGGTATGATGGAGCACACCCTGAGAAATGTACAGCACGACGGATCCGGGGCAGTCCACGCTGACCCCAATTTATTTGCTACCATGTTCGATATGGAAGGTCATTGTTCCGCTTCAGACAACACGGAAGAAGTTGCCCTGGGGAGGGGTGGGGAGTTAACGTGAACGGCATAATAGGTCACAGGTCAGGAAGCACTATTAGAGACAAGATTCAGCCGGTCAAGAGGGATGAGACCGGTGAAAGAGCGTAGGCGGAAAGAAGCTTGGTTTGAACCCTCGTCATCGCCTATGGCGCGAAGGCCAAACGGTGACCTCGGCTACAAGTTCAGCAGTAGAGTAATCGGGGTTAGGCCTGAGTTCTGAGCGGTCCTGAGGCACTAAGCGGTCCGGTTTGCCGGATCATCGGTAGGCAGGTACAGTGATCATCAGCCGCCGGTAAAATCATTGGCTGTCAAGTAGTAGTCTGTAGTGTGGATCTGAGCTCAGCCGAGAATGCTGGTGAACGATTGGAAGAGTTTCACCATTGAACCAGGCAACCCGATCAGTACTGTTGATGGAGAGTTCATTGGAAATAGTTAGTCAGTGAGTTAGAAAGGTCCTAGACGACTGTCGCCGCTTCCATGTTGAACGGAGACAGGAAATCCACCCAGCGACTCAGGTGGAGTGGAAGCACCGAGCAATTAACAGAAGCACAGGGCTTACAGTATTATACTAAAACTGGTTAAACCTTTGGTGGAATCTAAAAGCCTCCTGGTTTGGTTTTGCTGCAGCGGATGCCACATAAGGATGTCTGGTCATAAGGAAATTCAAGCAAAAATCGACTCTGCGTCCTCGGGACATTATTAAACATCGTCGTTTGTGGCGGCAGAAACAGAATGTTTAGTTCAATATTTTGCCTTTTTTATCCTTGATTGATAAGCCTTAGAAAATTGTTAATAGAATAGGGCTGTTATTGTGGAAAGCCAAAGGAAGCTCGAAATAATCCCTTAAGAACTGGGTCTATTAATGTACGTAACTGTAAACACGAGCCTTTTTCGTATAGAACATCCAACTTTCCCAATACAGAAGGGTGAACTTCGGAAGCCTATTTGTTATGCCACCCCTGTTTGCATGTATCCTGTAGATAATGGTCACGCCATTTATTCAATTATTCAAGAAATCGAGAAGCAGGTGGTCTTTCGTTCTCCCAAGTACTTGAATTCCATATCTTCGCCACGCCGCCATTTATGAATTGCCGTTTTTCACAAGTCCTCTCGTTTGCAGGTATGATGAAAAAAATTATGGGTGTCTAGTGGGGATGAGTTTAATCAAAGTTCATGAACAAAGTCATATCGAAAATCTTGATTTTGCTGTCTCCGTGAAGAAGCGAGCCAATGCAACATTAATAGTAAAACAGCACAGCTCGGTAAAATACACTGACTATTTCTCACATTAAAAGCAAATTTCCGAGTATCTGAACAGGAGGAAGCCCGAATAACTTCATTTTGATCTCTGAATTTTCAAGCGACCCGTGTGGTCCGATTGGGCAGACAGGCCTCACATATGGCTAGAAAAGTCGAATCCGAAATGATGTTATCTCAACAATAACCATTTCCTCTTTCCTTGCACCGAATGCGTCTACATTTTGGTGAAGAATGGTAAGAATTTCGGCCAATAAGTTATTAAACATGAAATTCATTGAGCATAAGGATGATACATTCTAGATTTTCAAAAACTTTTCACAGTGTTTGAAGACACAGAAAGAACGTGCACTGCAGACTATATTCCCATTTGGAAACAGAGAAAAGTAGCAGAAGAAGAAAAAGAAGCATATCATTGACAAAGACAAGGGAGACTGGGATGGCTCCTTCCCAGCCAGCCTTAACCCCAGGTTAAGGGCCACCTGACGCCCTGATGACGAAGAATGCTAATGTATATAGAAGCCTTGAATGAGGAAACCAATTTAAGAAATATTCCAGACACACAGTTTTGTCTCCAAAAATTATTTGCATAAATTCCTTTTTTGCATATAAAGAATTTCTGGTTTGGAACTGGCCTCATTTTAGAAAGGAAAATAGATGTCCTTCTGATTTCTGCGGACAGACTTTTGAGTTTTCTCGGACATTCATATTATGGAGAGCAATCAACGAAGAAAAAATGCGCGCTGAGTGTTGAAATGACCATTACTGGCCCAGTTGTCATCGACAGCCAGGTAAGGTTTTGGGGGTTTCGTGACTTTCCCAAGGAGCGTCCATGCTTCGTCCTGCAATCAGGACAGAACTGCAAATGTCACTCCCGTGCGAAATTACTCCCTAGGAAAAGTGGGTGAACGTGTGCCATGGTTGAGTGAATAAGCACGAGAAATTGAGTAAATTGAATGGGTTGAAGGCCCTAAAAATACAACTGAGCTACGACTGATTGATACAGATGTGGAGCACAAATTAGTGCAAACGTTTTGAACACTGCAGGCGAATATTGATACAATAAAGATAAAATGGCGACATATGGTCAGTTCCCACGTGTGGAGTCATCATGATGTAAGCCAGCACGTTTTGCCATCAATGCAGAATACGTGTGAAGAAACACTCGATAGTTACTAATAGGGAAACCAACAACTTATACACCAAGTAGAAAAAAACAATAGTGAAAAGTAGAGGAATGAGAAAATGTTCTTCTGGCTTATGTGGCGTCATTCGAGTGTCAATAAGTGAAGTCGTCGGACTAAAAATACGAGCGAAAAACGAGAGTTTGCTGGGTATTCTCGATGCCACAAAACGTCAAACAAACAGGTTGCGACAAGAGGCACTAGAGTTGCCATACTACACTGTCACGCTGATTGCGTCCAGAATGCAAAATAGGGAAGCCTCGATGAAGCAAAAAAAGACTGGAATAAAAAGTTTCGGGTAAGACAGGGATAGATAACCTCTCCCGTAATGCAGGTCGCCGTACGCTACATTTCAGGACGGGTG